CATCCTCGATGGCACCTAAGGCAGGCCAAGGAGATGCGCGCGACCAGCTAGGTCTTCTCCGTGGGATCTGCTCGAGCCGGCGCAGCCCTAGCCCGCACTGCGCGTAGCCCCACCCCATCGCGCTCCCCACCCCGTGCTGCGCGCAGCGAGATCGGGAGGAAGGAGAGGAGAGGCGGTGGAGGGAGGGAGTCGTACGCCGTGGATCGGGGGCGCCTGCGGATCGCCATCCCCTCTCGACGGCGGCCGCGGCGCCCTTCCCCATTCCGACGGCCTTGCGTGCGTGGGTGTCGGCGACGGGTAGACGCCCTCGAGACTCTGGATCCGTCATGGGCGGACGCGGCGGTGGCGGATTCCCTCGAGACGGCTATGGACCGCGGCGGTGGGGAGGGGATTTGCGTTCTCCTTCACTGTTGGAGAAGAGTAAGTTTTGGGTGGGGATGCTTTCTATGTGTAGACCCAAAGGTGTCGTATTTTGGGTGATGTCGTTGGAGATAGTCTAACAGGAGGTAGTAACAGTAGCTGGTGTTGCTATACCAGTGGCTCATACTGCTACTAGTGATTTTGTCTGGCAGCAAAGGTGCTGCCGAAATACCGCTAGAGAGCAGTAAAAGATTATTTTATATATCGGTGTTGTGATATGGCAAGCGGCCTACGTGTTATTAATCTCTACTGTATTTATTTTTCTGCACTGACTAACAAGGCAACTAACATACTAACACTCTGCTAACTTTTACTTTTAAAGTTATTTACTCCGCTAATCTCTACTGTATTTATTTTACTTTACGCGTGCTATTTATATTCCACGTGCCATTTATATTTCGTGATCTTATGTTCGTTTAAGCTGTTGTGATGCTCAAAGTTTCCATGCACTTCAATTTTACGCCATTATGCTGCCGAAATTTCTTTTATAAAGTTGGTGTTGTCATGGTGCAGGAATAGGACTGTCTGAGTTCTCCAATGGGGATGGCTCTTGCTCCGAATAGGGTGCTTGGTGATGGATCCGTAGGAGCGACCATGCACTAGTAAGTTAAGAGATGCGATTCCGAGAGGGGCAAAGAGCTCTGCTCTTCTAGAACATGCATGTACTCATGGTGTTCTGGTAGAGGCCATCGATGTCTGTGTACCCCTCTATAGAATATAAAAGCGTGAAATTTCACTCCTATGCCTTCCGGGTTGGGAAGCTTGCGGTCATGTGTGGCATCAGTTTAAACTATTGATTTTATTAATACCATGTACCTGTTTGCTGAGTATGATTTATCGTACTCACTCTTGCTTGTAACTATGTTTTTGCAGCTTATGACTATGGACTAAGCTAGGCGGGAAGGGCAACCACTAGATATAGTTTTAGCAGTAGTGGAATACTTGTTACTTTTAATCATTTAAAATGTACCAGAAATATGGATAAATAAAGAAAAATGGTTTTTGATCCACTTCTCGTCTATGTTTATTATACGCCTTGCAGGGTTATAAATTATATTTTATAACCGTGCGACGGCTGTCCCGTCTAGGCCCTAGTTGGGGGCGTGACACCGAACCATGTCTTGATCAACTCCCACACTTGGTTAGTGAAAGGGCAATTTTTTCACAGGTGCGTTGGTGTCTCTTGATCATTTGCACAGAGTTTACATATGGGGTCATCCGTCCATCCTCGCTTCATCAAGTTGTTTGCGGTCAGAATTTTTTGTGCATTAGTGTCCATGTGAAGAATCTGCATTTCGGTTCCGTCTTGGCCTTCCGAATTGGCATAATTCTGAGTTTGGAAAAGGTCCCCTGGAACTGAATTTCATAAGCGCTTTTTGTTGTGTACTCTCCACTTTCTGTCCAACGCCATCTTATCTCGTCTTCCACATTGTTGATCAACTGTGTATCCTTGATGGCCTCCCAGAGGTTGACAAACTCATAGACCTCTAACTGTGAATTCGGAGGATATATGTGGTCAATCCACCTATTATTTTTTAGAGCCTTTTGCACTGAAATCTTTTTCCTGCATCTTTAAAACAAGCTGGGGGCGATTGTTTTTGCCGAAGCGCCGTTAATCCATGAGGAAGTCTAGAATCGGTGATTGGTTCCCTCAGGTTTTTCTGAAGTTCCACGGAGGATTGGTTCCATCAGAATCGGCGAGTCCAAAGTAGAGAAGCAGTGCGCAAGCACCAGACTTATTTGATTTTCATTCATTGGCCATATTCACCGTTTGGTCAGACTTGAAGCGAACTAAATGCAAAAATAAATGCCTTCAGCCGTTCCCATTCTACGGATCATTCGTTCATGTCCATTACTCTGTTTCGGTTTGGTATGGTAACGCCCAATATCACTTTCTAGATTTATTGGGAGAGATGCTACAGCAAAAAAAAACAATAATCTCCCCAATAATGGAACCTACTTGTCAGAATTTTTTTTTTTTTTTTCCTTTACTTCTCTCTCCCATGCTGTGTCTTCTTCCCCATCTCGCTGAACCAAATCTCGGTCCTAGCCATGGCGCCCTCTCCGCTCCCGGCTGTGGTGCTGAAGCCAAGCATGCAGCTCCTCGGGGCTCTCCGTCGGAGCTGGCGGAGACCGCTGACCTTGGTCGTGACTCGTGCCGGCCCCTCCGGCCACGCCCACTGCCGCGCGACCTGGCCCTGGCCCCGGCCCCGACCGCCGCCATGTCCACCGCTGCGCACCCAGACCCACCCCTGGCTAGCGTTGCCCCATCCCCGCGCCGGCAAGCACCGTGCCCAGCTTCGACCGTAGCCATGGCGGCCGGAGATGGAGATGGAGGTGTCGTGTGGGCCCAGTGCGCCACCTCCTCCAGACCGCCGCCACGTCCATCCACGACCCCCGCCGCGCCCATGCCCATACCCCCGCCGCCGCCGTGCTGTGGGGGCTCTGTTGGTCAGGGGTGTCTTCCATGGGCAGGAGATGATAGTTAGGTGGGCCCCACTATTTTGGGGAGATGCAACTCGCCCTCTATTTGAGGGGAAATGGGGTGTTTTTTTTTGCCAAAAAAAAGGACCATATCGGGGAACTATTGGAGCAGGAAATTTAACTTATCTCCCCAATATGACAGTTTTATGGGGATTTGAGGTCCTATTGGGGAACCGCTGGAGATATTCTAACCCTATTCCCCAAATGGACGAGGACTTGAATCTTCGAGATTATATGAAAATCAAAATTAAAAATTATGTCCAACATCTTTTCCTTGGATTCGAAAAGTTTTGCTACTACCGAGTACAATGCCTAGACATCAAGACAGGAGAAATTCAGCGGAACATACTTCTGAGACAGTACCGTAGGTCGTAGGAGTTATGAAGAAATATAACAAATTTTATTGTAATCTAAAGTATAATAAAATAGCACAATGCAGTGATGTATAAAGCCGAACGTGTAAATCAGTGTCCATCCAGTTAAAGATTCTGCAAAATCCACGAGTCTATAATATATTGGTAGTCTAGGAATGGGGTATGGCCAATATCTAGCCTATCTAAAGCGACCTTCACGTGTCACTCGAGAACTCATGGTGTTTTTGTGGCAACTGCATGGGAAGCACTATAAGAATTAGCGGTGAGAGTTGATGGAGAAAATTAAGGTGGGAATTTAACTTTTAGTTCTAATTCCTTGTTTGATTTGTGGAGGGAAACAAGAAGATAAGTTAAATAGAGGATTCATATCCCTTGGTACGTGGTTTTTTTAATGTCCCCACCCATTAACCACCCCCTAGGGAATTGATTACTAGAAGTTTCCTCTCCAAACTCATATTCCCCTTCCAACCAAAACGCTCGCTCCCACTAAACAAACGCAAGATTTCTGAACTCCGAACTCTAAACTTCCAGTCCTTACTTTCAGTTACCTTCAACCAAAACATGCCGGAGATCAGGTTCAGATCAATGTAAAAAATATCGTTTTTTAGAAGGGATGATTCCATACATTCATCCTCGTAACGAGTAGTACAAAGTAAACTAGAAAAACTGGCGCGGCAAGATCATTACTTTTGGGATGCAGGATGAAGAAACTCACCATTGTTTTAACGACATTATATAGCGAGCCAAAATAAATAGTGGGGCATTAGAACATACTTAATCAGTTCAACAAATTAATCACTATTTATGGAATATTAGTAAACACCGTACATCAAAGCCTAGAAGTAAATAGGAGCACATAACAAGGAAGATAGCTATTCTAGGAAGCTTGGAGTACCAAAATACACTGGAATAGTGTAGAGCCAGATGAAACAAATAGAACAAAGTACTCTAAACTGTGTGCCATGCTGCACCTGTGCACCGTATATGAGGAAGATATGTTTGATACATGAAGGCCTTCCTGTGTGCCATGCTGCACCTGTGCATTGTATCGTTTCATCTACACCGATTCATTAGAACAATTCTAATTTATTGTCCACTTCAAGTGAAAATAGTGGCTCTATTCTCTGAATTTGGTTCGTCTGGTTTTTTTTGTCACATTAAGGACAAGCATACTATGTAGATACTACTCATTGTGCAAATAGGTATAGTTCAGTGTAAAAAACATTGGTAATGTTCACAAATTTCCAACAGAGTACACACGGGTCTGCTTAACTGAAGACTGAACATGCTTTAGCAAATGCAAAATTAGAAACATTATGTTGTCAATAAAGATGATATTGACTATTTGATATAAGTAGAATGAACTTCTAATCAAATTTGGGCAGCCCTTCTTTGTGTATTCGTAAGTATTACCATTTGGTTTCAGCATGGAGTTACAGACTTTGGAAGCTCGATAGCACCATGTTTGGTTTTCTCTGTGATATCAAGTCAGTGTAGTCAAGGATCTTTGTAAAAATAGGCAGGAAAGTAGTATATTCAATGCTGAATCAGCAGGAAAACACTGTGAAGCTAAAAATTAGTGTTGCTACAAGTAATTTAGCACGGTTTGAGGAACATATATTTTATCAGATGTGTGAGTGCTAAAATGTATCCCATAGACGCATTCTCCTGAACACTTGTGCAACCGTCAGACGCAATGCAGAGGAGTGGGGCTGTGATGGAATGGCAAGCTCGGTGACCTGGGATTATGCAATCCAAAACGCAGCATGGCGGCGAGGCAGGGAGAGGGATGAGTGTGCATGCGTGCTGTGGGCATCTAAGCTGAGAGGAGTGGCCCCCGAAGGTGTTGGGCCGAGCAGGGACACCGCTTGGGTGATGTGCCAATTGCCAGTGCCAAGCTCGGTGTCCAACCGGAGTTCTGCGGTGGTGAGTGAGTCGGGGCCAGGCCGCACGCATGGTGGAGGTGCGCGGCATGCGCCGCCGGGCTGCCGCTGCTAGGTCGTCGTGTCGTGTATCCGCCATATCTCATCTTCCTTCTTCTGCTGGTGCAGCACAGCCACTACTACGAGTTGTGGAGAAAAGGAGGCGCGGCGCACGGAAAATGAGAAGGGACCGGGGCACTCTGGCTCATCCGCGCCACTGTCTTCGCCGCGGCACCCGTCCTGCGCGTTGAAGGGAGGTGGGATCCCCAGGATCAGCTCTTAGCGACGCAGGAACGAAGGCTCCAGAAAGGGTAGCTGCATTGCCCGCTTTTTGACGGTCCGATAAAGAATTAGACGGTGAAAAACAACAAGCCACGTGGCAAAATGAGAGGCCAGAGTGGTTGGTGCAAAATTCGTCTTGTAAAAGATTACATCATCGGTGCTACCAAAGGCCATATTAAGCAACACTCTTGTTCTTCCTCTCGATCGCTACCACCATGCTAGGTCGAATGAATCGAAAATATATGAGAAGACACCACTCACTTTGTGGGCCAGAGAAGAACCATAACCAGGAGAGTATAGATCGACCACCACCCCAATACGTAATAATTAGAGAAAGCAACTCATACCTCACTACTGCTTCGTCGAAGATCATAGGAGCCACATTCTCACCCTAGAAGCAGATGAAGGGAGCAGAAATCCCATGGGAGCGCCGTATTTACACTGCCGTAGACAAAACTTACATAAAGCTCCTCCATCCGTCCCAAAAAATTGCACATCTTGTTTTTTAGTAAGTTTGACTAACTTTAGATAAAATAACATCAATATTATATCTACTAATACTTATTAAGCATCGTAAATATTGATAGTTTTTGTTATATACTTGGTCAATTTTTTTAAAAAAATCTTGACTTCTCGAAAACAAGATGTGCAATTATTTTAGGATGGAAGAAGAAATTATTAGGTGGGATATAAACAACCGCACTTTATGTCCTCGATTCTCGCACCACTAGAGTCGGCAAGGCCACTGGAGTCATGCACCCCTTATGGTGTCGTCCTAGTAATAACGAGTGTTGTGACGATAGTGATGGAACAGAAGCTTAGACTAGAGTTGTTGCATAGTTGTCAATGTCGAGGTAGCCGATGTTGTAGCATCCAAGGTCAATGTAGCCGCTCATAGCCAAGGTTAGTACATGTTATTAATATGCAATCAAAATTTGAATTATATTTCTAACGCCCTTGAGAAGACAATGCTACTCCAAACTTAAACTACATGCTGCGTGTTACTAATGTGCAACCAAAATTTAAATTTTATTTTTTATATGGAATTTTCCTTCCATGTCTTGATGGGTAAGCGAGACATTGCACGACGGGTTGCGTGCTGCGATTTGCAAGGGTTTATCTTAGCCTGCATCTTTAGTTTCATATTTGGCCTAGTACCATGTTTGTGATACCATATAAGACTCAAATAATTCTAAGAAAGGAATGAAAACTTAGAGCATGATTTAAAAAAATATAAAATAGTTTTATATTTTTCTGAGTTAAAATTTTCTTGTAGAACTAAATCAGATTTTAGTATTTTAATTGTACAATTTTCAAAGAACAGTTGGGATTTTTTTAAAAAAATCTACAATTTATTAATAAAGTCTAATTGAGCCTCTAAGACTTGAAAACGTATGTTTAAATCTATCTTGACCGACGTGATGTCACATAGGACCACTAAGTGACGGGTGGCCAAAACGCTTTCGAAACCACTCAAATGTACTTTTGTAAATTGAACTTTGGTAATAGTTGAGGAAGCAAAAATTGAAGGAAGCAAATTGAACTTTTGTACTCCATCCGTTCTAAATTATAAGTCGCTTTGACTTTTTTGTTTCAATCATTTTGCTATGTATTTGGACATATTATTATATTTAGGCCTTGTTTAGATTGACTCAAAATTCCAAGTTTTTTCATTCTCTCCATCATATCAATTTTTGGACGCATGCATGGAGCATTAAATGTAGGTAAAAAAATAACTAATTACACAGTTTTGTTGTAAATCAAGAGACGAATCTTTTGAGCCTAGTTAATCCATGATCGGACAAAGTTTGTCAAATACAAACGAAACATGCTACAGTGTCCAGATTGCAAAAATTTGCAATCTAAATAAGGCCTTAGATGCATAACAAAATGGTATAAAAGTCAAAGCGACTTATAATTTGGAATAGAGGCAAGTAATAGTTAAGGGAGTTCACGTTAGCCAAAACGCTTTGAAAACTGTTGAGAAAGGTAAATTAGACGATTTAATTTTAAAAAAATATCGAAAAATTCGGTTTCCAATTAAAAGAAGCAAATCAACCTTTCCTAGCAGTGGAGGGAGCTCAGATAGATTAGTGGGCAAGTGGGCTGTGGGCGTAACCGTAATCTTCACCCTGCGCCCCTCCCTCTTGTTTTCCGGTTCCCCGCGGCACCTGCTCTCTCTCTCCCTCTCTCTTATCTCTCTCTCGGTTCTCCCGTGTCCCTCGCGTGCTCTCTGTCTCTGGTGGCGCCGCCTCCGCCGCCCTGCGCCAGGTACCCAGACCTTCGCCGGCGACGAGCACCACCAGGTGCGCCCACCCCTTCTCTCCCGTTCCTGCTGTGCGAAACGGAGCGCCCAAACCCAAGCTATATGCCTTCGGATCTGATCTGATCCAGTTACAAGTGTAGTAATAGTATACATGTAATATGCACACAAACTTTTTTCCGTTTTTTTTAGAAAAATTGGGTGTACATGTGTACATCCATGTCCTTTACTGGGTCCTCCCTCTAGGCCTCTACTAAGAGTGTCTCGTCAATTGTGTTGCTTAGATTAGATTGTTCCCCCTTTTTGAGACCTTCTCTGGCTAGAATTAGATTGTTGACAGCGAGTCGATGGGTCATTGGTGTATGCTTATCTGGTAGCTGTGGTGTACTGGTAATTTAATCATCTCAATTTGGTTCAGAAGTGTGAATATTGCTCCGTTTTCAGTGTTTACCCCTTGATGAATCAGTGTATGAATCCCCGTTTCTGTCTCCTGTTGGTTTGGTAATTCGTTTGTGCTGGACCTTGCTATGTAATCAAGTGTTGTTTGTCTGATGTGTATGTGATAGCATCATTTTGCGGTTACCTTGGTTGCTGAAATTGTTTCTTGGAAAATGACAGATCAGATTCGTGGATATGGCTGATAACGAGAAAGAGGTCGGGGAGGGAACCACCCACCGAGGGGCGGACTGGGAAGTTGTGACTCTCACAGCATCTGCGTATGAAGCGGCGCCAGGGCCTGTCGGAACGGAAGTAAAGCCTGTTAATGAAGATCAAGAGCGTAGTTCATCCAATGAACTGCTCAGGTCTGACCACTTTGTGTTTCCGCCGAGTGAGCACGAGAACCTGCCAATACAAACCAGTTTTGATGAGATACAGACTGAGAAGGATGTGCAGAAACCTAGTACCAGTGTGGAGGATTATAGTATCAAGAATGATGCTGGGTCTGAGAGAGTTCAGTTTGATGATGAAGGGAAACACCTCTCAGATGATGATGTGGAGATGAGAGATGACACGCCTGGGTATGGTTCATCTCATGCTGAAGATGATGCACATGGTTTTGTTGCCCATGATGATGGCATTGAGTCTGGTGAAGATTTTGATGAAAAATCAGGCCACCCTTCAGAGCCCGCAGACAGCAAGAGCTGTGATACTGGTGCCTCATGCAAATGTTGGTTGAAGAAGCATATGACATGCCTGTATAACCAAGCAAAGGAAACAAATGCTATCTGGTCTGTGGTGGTTGCAGCCGCACTAGTTGGTATTGTGATTTTGGGACGTTGGCACAAAGATAAATTGCACCTTAACCAGCTTAAATGGCGCTCTGGCTCAGCAGTGAGGTATGTTAACCTCTTGTTTCCTACAATTGTACACATTATTTCATAGGTCTCAAGTATTTAGTCAACTTATTCGCCTTTTTATAGTGTTTTGCACTTTATTGGCTCAATATGTGCACACAAGCGCATGTGGTTCCTCTTGTGGACATCTGCGGTTTGGCCTAGAATATCTGCATAGTTTATAATATATTTCCCTTGGTAATAGCCAAATTCATTTTGCAGTTCTGGCTGATATTACCTGTCTCATCCTCTTAGTTTCTAGTGTAGTAGTAACTAATAAGGTGGCAGTATATTCTGAAACTGACGGTTGAATGCTTTGTTTGCATTTCAATGGTCGTTAGTCGTGCTCATTTTATGGTTGTGATTTTGGAATCCAATCTGATTGGATAGCATTTATACCAAATTGCATCCATTGCCTAAAGAAGATTTGGATCATATTCATTCTTCCGATGGATATGGACTAGTAACTAAGGAATAGTACTCATCTAGTTCAAGTTTCTTTCCTGAATTCAAATTGAACTATCCCTCATATTAATCTGATGTTTTAGACACTGCTAAGTGAAGACACAGGAAACAGTCACATGCTCATATTAAATCTGTCTATTACCTAAGTAATTTTATTTTTATCTCCGAGATGACCTATCTTCATGGCCTATGAGCAAAGCAATTGGACCTTGCAAAAGTTTGTAGTATAAATGACATATGAGTTAGGGCTATTTCTAGAAGATATAGGTGGGTCCCTCTCTAAATCCTATAACATGAACAAAAGGGCATCTTGCACCTACATCAGTTTTTTTTTTTTGAATTTTTGTGGGTTAAGTTCTACATGTGATTGTATCTATTTTTGTTGATAAATGATAATGCAAAGGATACACCAATCAAATTTCCTAATTAGACATGGTGCAGCTTTCATCAAGTATTTTTCAATCTGTATTAAATCTGGATTTGTGCTAGAACCTAGGATATTTTGGTATATTACTCCCCCAGTTTCTAAATTATAGTTCACTTTGACTTTGTCCTAAATCAAACCTCGGACCACGTTTTTTAGAAAAAAAAAACATATTGATATCTACAAGATCAAATAAATTCTATATCAAAATATATTGGCATGAAGAATCTGATGAAACGAATTTGATGTCTAGGTAACTAGGTGTTGGTGATTTTTTCTACAAACTTGGTCAAAGTTAAAGAAGTTTGACTTAGGATAAAACCAAAGTGAACTACAATTTGGAACGGAGTGAGTACTTGGTTTAGGTTCTGATATGAACTCAAACTCTTACATGCTTACTTGGATAGAGTTGAAAAAACATTGCCTGTTTGAAAACTACATTTGATATCAAAGTCTTGTACTCTTGTTATATTTGGTACGTAGCTTGGATGAAACCATTTCTGTAATCTGTATTCTATATCTCTATATTCTGCATAAATAAAACATTCTTTTAACTTCCGTTTTTGGTTGTTCGAGGGAGAACAAGCATCAAATCTTTGTTTGCATATCACCAGACTTAGTGCTATTCTAGTCAGTTTTCATATTATGTGAACTTTGCATCATTCTCCCCTATTTTATTATGTGAATAGTCACTCTGAAAAGTGTGTTAGATTATTTATGTTTTAGAAATTAGAATTAAGGAAGGGCGGGCCTGGTGCAAGCGGTAGAGTCTTACCGCCTGTGACCGGAAGGTCCCGGGTTCGAGTCGCGGTCTCCTCGCATTGCACAGGCGAGGGTAAGGCTTGCCACTGACACCCTTCCCCAGACCCCGCATAGAGCGGGAGCTCTCTGCACTGGGTACGCCCTTTTAAATTAGAATTAAGGCCTTGTTTGGATGTTGTATTAAGAAGCCATAATATCAAAAGACTGTAGTTTTAGAACCATTGATGTGCAAAACTGTGGTTTAGAAAAAATAGAGGTCAAGAGTGGAGTTTCAGCAATACCATGGTATTCAAAACCATAAAGTTTGTTGCACCCAAACATTTCATGGCACTCTAAAACCAAAGTATTTCACAAAACCATGGTATTTTTCTAAAACTCCAAAAATACTTTGTATCCAAACAGGGCCTAAGGTTCTTGATTGACATATTTTTGTGAATTTATTTACATGGTTGCTATCACGTTTGTGTTTTTTTTCAATTCACTACTTTGTGAATCCATTTTGTTAATGCAGTCTCCAAATTTTTCTTCCTAGTACCATCCCAGAATTTGGAAAGCTAATTTCAAACCTTTTTTTTTTTGCATCTCATCATTTTGCTAATTCCTTCAACTTGGATCTGTAGCAATGACCTATCATGCTGACTTCGTTCTGCATATGTTACAAATCAGTTTTGTTTGCCTTAAAATGTCTAATAAAGTGATCATGACAAGGATTTCGATGTAAGGTTACTCAATGGTTTAGAAGTTGAAATATTGGTTGTCTATTGAAACACATCAGGGAATGGTTAATTGGTTTAACCCTTTCCAAGCAATGTGATTTTACTGATATCTGTACTACTTGGCAAATATTTTGTGTCATTTACCGAAATATGATCCTGCTCTTTCTCATATGTTGGTGCATACCATGCATCCATCAGTAATCTGTAAGTACTAGTTAATAATCCAGCAGTTGCTGCTTCATTGAGGCAGTTATAGCAACAGGTCCATGGTTTCAGCCATGTTTGAATTAATTCATGTAACTTTTTATACTTTATTCTTCGGTGATGATTAAATTTCTCGTGGTGTCTTGTAGTAATGCTTTTAGCAAACTGAGTTTTTCTTTTCCTGTAGTGCTGAGTCCACAATGCTAGATTCTTGAAGCCTTTTCCCCTGCTATACAGCTCAATCACCTTTTGCATTTTTACCCTGTTCAGCTTTATTTAACAACTACTTTATATGTGGCTCATGTTGGGTTTCATTTCTAGCCTGCCCCAATTTTCTTGGGATTAAAAGCTTGCTTGCTTGTTATTGAGTATATAGCTTCAGCTTTTTGAGGACTTGCTTCTTTGTGCTATATAAATGGAACTGCTGGTTCCACTGATAGGGATGCAAGTGGTGCACCCAATGGTATTTCTTGGTCAGCTTATTTACCCGCTTAAAGTTTGTAAGTCCTGAAGCCCCCAACAGGTCACCCAGAACGAACTCTCACCAAAACACACGAAAACAGTAGTATGGTGCTGCTCAAAGGCTTGCAGCTTTTCTGGTTTTATCCTCTCTTTATACACAGCCGAGAGCTACAATTGTGTCTGAGATAGCGTTGTAGTTATTGCAGACAATTATTTACTCAATCAGCCTATTATTATCCTTTACTACCTGCTAGAATGCTCCTAGCACTAAAGCCTGAACCTGGACACAGTTTTGCACCTGGAACTAATCTGGACACACAAGATAAATTTGATAACAAATTTGTTACGTAGTATGCCATTCTAGTTCATTTTAGCAAGTTTCAGATTGACCAAATGACCCAAAACAAGTGGAACTTGCATCCCTACCCACCAGCAGAGAGGCCCTCTGTGCTGACTATTGACGTACCTGGAACTTACTGAGAGGGTTTACCTAACAAGGGCCTTCTAGACTCTAGTGAAGTTCTGGGAAATCTATGGAGTGGTTGCATCAGTTGTCTTTTTTTTGGGATAGGCTAAAAGAAGTGCCTCCCAGACACACTGATACACACAAGACTACAAAAAGACGTGCCAAGCTAAGGGACATAACACGACCACTAACCAGCACACCTCCAAACACCCTCAAGGCTCGGGGCCTAGCGACCTAAGGAGCTCATGGAGGGCCGAGACGCCAGCCAAACACCACATGCTGCTTTCATTAGCCACTGAGGAGAGCCTGAATGTTTGGTCTAGCACCTTCAAAGGCAATGTAGTTCCTCATTGCCACTGTGAGGAGAGCACAAGAAATTTGCCATATTTACTATTAAAATATTCGAGGAAATTCCCTCATTGCCACTGGAATATATACGCATTCCCTTGGTTGCCATTCCTGTTAAAATCTGTTAACTTTCTGTTAAGTTGGGTCTGTCCCCCATTTTGAGGCACCATGCCGCGCAGCGCAGGCCCCAGTCCTGGCAGCTGCTGCTCTGCATCGGCCCCTATCCTGCCGCTGCAGCTGAGCTGGGCCTCCGCCTCATGCACATCAACACCAACTGCACCGAGAAATTCATTGACACCGTCCTGGGCCTCGTTCACCAGCAGCCTAGCTGTGGCAGCAGATGCGCATTTGTGCGGGAGGGGCGGGGTGGCTGACGCGCACCCGCATGGGAGGGCGGAGGTAGGTGAACACAGGGGAGTGGTGAGAGATGAATACACGCAGCACGGGCAGGCCCAGGCAGCGCATGCGCACGGCTTCCTGCGTCCTCCGCACACTCACACCAGGTGCTGTTGCGCGCACATCCTGCCGCTGCCAATTTGCCTCCATGGACAGGTCCAGTCGTGGTCAGGTGTCGTTTGCCCAGGCGCATTCATGTGGCTCCCCTGCGCCCTCCATGGGCACTCGCCTAGGTGCGAACGCGCAGAGGTCTGCTCCTGCCAATTTGCCTCGGCCGACGGGTGGAGTCGTTCGGTCTGCTCCACCAGCTGGCCAGAGGTACTCCTAGCTGCGATGGACCAGCTCAGGGACGTGCCTGGTGGAGGCTGAGGCCATGGTGGCCTGTAATGGCTGGTCTATAGCATCCATGGTGTTAGCCAGCCAGGTTCACATGAGCACCCACGCCAGCCAGAGGAGTAGCATTGTGAGCGTCCACACCACGGCATTGGTACTGCTGGCCCGCCACCCCGTTCGAACTCACGGCAGCAGAGGAACAGCAGCAGAAGTGCCATGTCCAGAGGAAGAGCAGCAGAAGTGCCGCGTCCGCAAGCAGCACGAACATGACAGAGCCTGCGTCTCCCTAGGAGTTGTAGATGGCCAGCACTGAGTTGCATGCCCCTGTGGCTGCATGTGTGCAGGTGACTGGCACCTGCCCCAGCAGCCGTGTGCTGATGTGCTCTCCCAGATGCGGCCACGTGGTTGGCCCTCCAAGCTCATGCTCCCCCTGTCGCCGGATGCTTCTCCTCAGGCCAGTTTGTCGCCGAATTGGGTGGGTGTGCCCATGCGGCTGGGAAAGGATAACAGCCCGGTTGCGACTTGCAACCCCAAGCTGTCAAAAGAGTGCAACTTAACAGATTTTAATGGGAATGGCATCTAAGGAAATGCAAAACTTAGAATAGTGGCAGTTCAGGGAAGTTGGAAATTTTGATGGCATTGAGGGGATAAATTCTAGTGTCAAGGAGGGAATTTACTCATATTCTAGCCTGAGGATTACTGGATTAGGCTTTCACTTTTCACCCAAGGACCAAGGTTACACCAGGAAGGAAAACATATATTGTGCACTTCATATATTCATCTCTCCTTAGCATTACTGCAAATTGTTGCATTGCTTTTTCAATGCTCTTTGATATCGAAGATTGCAACTGCATCTTTAAGGCACAGATAAATGATGCAAGACATAGTGATAAGTTAATGTTATTTTGCTAACATAAACATAATTAAAATAATAATGAAACCAACTATCTTATTACTGTTGAATTGTAAGGTTGCCTTCTAATTACTATGCCGATTTACTGATATGTGTTGATATATTTGGAGCTGCACGTTTTGCTACATTATTACTATAGAAAGTATACATTCCTGTTACAGTTTTACCCTGTATCTACCTTTCCTTAAAACTGTATACTTTTTTTTTTTTTTGCTCTGGCAGAGGATGATCAACAAGTGGTTTGTGCTGATACAAAACTCTGATGAGTCAATTCAACTGAAGTTATAACCAAGAGGGTTGTTGCAGTATTATTGTGACGATGCCGAAAAGGAGTATGTTCAATGAATAATATATGATGTTCGACTGGAATTTCACTTGCCGCCTACAATGAGTGCCTCGTGGGCTTCTAAGATGTCAAATTCACTTCTGCTATACACATTATCTTACAGCTTTACTTGCGACCTGGCACATGATTATTGGTTCCTGCTACTTTTGCTGTGATATATCATATATGTTGACTGATGGCTGTAGAACATAGTAGAGTTGCACACTGCAAAGTCTGTTAAAAACTTGGTGGTTCTGCGAGAGCAACTCACGTGCGATTGTGAAAATTGAGAACAAGGAAAGTTTTGTTTGGCTTCTATTTTGTTATTACTCCTGAGTGGTGAAATATTGTTTGGTGTATCGTACTGGTTTTGTCAAAAGGTTAGGTTTGGTTATGTTCCGTCCAGACGTGTGCTTGCCTGCGTGGCCGACATAAGGTGGCAAGGCGCGTGGAATACTATTATAGTATAATGAAAAGGAATATCAGAATACAGATCTAATGGTATCGATATATGTCACAGAATTTATATATGGCTTATCTTAGTTAAATAAAATAGAGCTTGTAATTTCAAGTGGAGGGATATTAGGTTCATTTCATATCTTTATTTTTGAATAATTGTCAATGTTCTAAATAGCTTCCTATAGCATTGATATAGCTTTTTCGTAGGCTCTACTGTGACGATATTACCAAGTGTTGTACTATTACTGCTAGTAACGCTATAGCTCCACTAAACACTGCTAATTGATTTAGCCATGAAACATGTTTGGCGCCCCTATTTTTTTTACAATTTGACACTTTTTTAAGAAAATTTACGTTTGGCCCCCTGGGAGACTTAAACTAATCTTTGTACCCTGGGGTCGGCGCTAGAAATCATAGGCGCCGAGGTAACACGTCTCGGCGCCACAGATCTTGGCGTCGAGGTGCATGGACGAGCACAGCAAGCCATCCTATGTGGCGTTCACGTGGCCGGCACCTCGGCGCCACAGATCTTGGCGCCGACCTCGATGCCACAGATCTTGGCGCCGAGCTCTATGTTCACGTGGTCGACATCTCAGCGCCATAGATCCTGGCGCCGAGCATTGATTCAAAACCCGCGGCCGCAGCTCTCTCTCTCTCTCTCGCACTCTGTCTCTGCCTCCTCCTTGGCATGCGTCGTCGATAGCCTCCTGCCTACGCCGGCAGGGGCACCCGCGCCGAGCCTCCTCCTCTCCTCCTTTCCACGCAAGCGCCTTGCAAAGAGCCGCCCCGCTCTCCCCTCTCCGTCTGGCGGCCCCGCCGCCCTCGTCGCCCCTTCCGTCCTCATCAGTGTCCGACGGCGAGGGCGGCCCACCACCGCTCGCCGGAGCTCCCGGCGGCCGGTGGGCTCCGACCCTGCGCCCCTCCCCCTCAGTCATGTTAGCCCCCTACTGCTCCTCCCAAGCGTCTTGTGAGCAGCAAAGCCATCCGAGTAAAGTTACAGATGGTTAGTAATTTTTTAGTTAACTTAAATTAGTTAATTTACTTTAGATAATTTAGTTAGTAATTTTTTTAGAATATTTAGCAAATCTAGTTAGCAAATTTAATTACATAGGTTGAAAGTTAGATGCTTATTTTTTTAGTTATATTATATACTTAGGAATATATGTATGTAACTTATTTAGTTAGATTAGATTGTTAGAGACATAATTAGGGAGTTAGTTACCTATTGATTTAGTTAGCTAGTTAGTAAGTGTAGTTATCAAATCTCTTCTTGTTATAGAGATAGTTAGACAGTTAGATACTTATTTGTTTAGGTCGATAGTTAGGTAATTTAGTTAGCAAATGTAGTTAGATATTATGGTTAGTTATCTTATAATAATATACCCATAATAACTTGGTTGATGTGCATACCGACTAGATGGACAACGTAGTCACCCTGTATCATGGAGGAAGTGTGGAGGAAGATGAGTTTGGTAATGTCAATTTTGTTGAAATGCAAATGGTACCAGTGATATTCGATGATCGGCCATTGTTTTGTGAGTTGTTTAGTAGGGCTCGTGATGAGCTTAAATGCAATTCAAATGAAGATGCCATCTTAGTCGAGAGGGTACTTCACCATGGTGGTCAGGGACATTTTTGAGGTGGTTGGTCCCAATTGCATTAGAGGCACAATGGGACAAATATGTCAAAACTGTCATGAAGAATGAGTTTCAATGTTTGGATTTGGTTATGTAGAAGTTGTCTAATGATCCCACCCCTCATGAGTATTCACCCCTTAATGTTCATTCACCCCCTCATGGGTTGTCGCCAGCACCAGAGAATCCGACACCCTATGAGCCTCTGTTACCCAACTGTGAGGTGGATGTGGAAGATGCGGTTGTGGTGCCCGATGCTCAATCCGCCCCCAATGAGGTTGGTGTATGTCCTGGTGTCCGTGAAGAATGTGGAACTAATGATATTGTAGGTGCCCCTCAGGAGATTCCTTTGACCCAGAATCATCCTAGTAAGTGATTTAGTAACACTTTGGCTCTCCTTATTCTTTGTTCATTCTATTCCTTTGTCTCAGTGGTATCCATATTTATGCTTTAAATGCAGAAGACAATCCTGATAATGATGGTTGTGCTCCTGTTCCTCCATCAACCAACGTGGACCTAGGGTTTATGGCCTCTAACAGTGTAGATGTTGATATTGCGGATGATGAGGAGCCTTATGGCACAGCAAGGGCCATTGATTCGCATGATGACCGCCCAGTTGCAGCTTTGAGCGAACAAGAAATGGAGCTCATCAGACGTTTGTGTCCTGATCGTGATCCATTGGTTCATGAATTCAACGACCTTAGTCATTCTCAACATACTTATAGGAAGAGATGACGAACTGCTAGAGGCTCTTGAGGCCAATGGTAGCGTGGAAATTCAGTTGGACATGGTCTTCATGGACTTGCCCACCTTAAGAAGGTGGCTACAGGAATATTCTGTGAGACGTAAGAGACCATTCAAGGTGAGGCACTCCCATATGGAGCGCCGTTACACGGTGGCGTGCGAGATGACATATTGCAATTGGAGGGTCTGTGCTCGCAAACAGAAGGCCACAGGGAAATTCAAGATCACCAAAATTATAGGTCCACACACTTGTGCCCAGACAGATCTAAAACAGAAGCATAGACAGTTGACCTCTACCCTCATTGCCAGAAAGTTATACACAACTTTGAAGGGTCAGCCCAACTTGAAGGTCAGGACAATTATGGAGATGAGAAAGGAGATATTTAAGTATGACATAAAGTATGAGAAATCATGGAGGGCAAAGATTATGGTAACAACTTATATCCGATGACACAAACTATTTGGGCTTCATGGACTTTGCTTATTTTGCATGTGTGGAGATTTGGAAAGTACGTAGTTACTTTCCTATAACTATTTGGGACTGTATGGACATTGTGTACTATTTGGACTATGCAGGACATGTTATGTTTATTGTGATGTTTGATGTGGTTGTATTGTGGTCTTTGGACGATTAAATGTTTGGATTATATAATGATGTCTCTGCTTGTAACCGTAGATGCTCCTGAAACGAGAGAAACTTTTGCGAATTTTTTCTGTAAATCATTAATTAAACTTCACTGCTACAAAGGCACAAATGTAGTACACAGATTAAATATAAATTCAGTAGAACATGTATAGTCCAATCGTATCGTACAGATGCTTTTTCAGATGAATATAGGCTTTTCAGTAAAAGTGAACGAATCTAGACTTTTCAGACAATAGTACACATATAGGTACGAAGGCATGCAAAGAAGCACAACTCCACTCCATCTCCACCATTCATCTTATTACCATTTGATCCAAGGGCTGAGGCGAAGAGGCACGCGGATCACTGACATGGCACATTGAGAGGCCTCCATTCCTCGTCTCAACCTACAAATAACCCCTCACTCCATCTCATTCAAACACACAACAAGGACGAAGAGCACTCCTCAGCATTATCTTTCGTTGCAGTACCAATGTCTAGAGGGTCGTCTAGAGGGAGAGTAAAGGGGAAGGGAACTACTATTAGGTGGGAGGGTCCTCTTGGTCCAGATTTTTTTGAGGAAGCTCTTTATGAGAGGTTCCCAGTCAAGAGCAAAAGTGATTTCACCAAAGAGGCATCACTGAGAGGATACGATGAACGGAAAGAATAGTGGCCAAAATGCATGCATGGTGAGGACTGTCTAGTGCAGATGTTCACCGAGGGAATAGATGGAGGCCGACGTTTCTTCAAATGCCAACGAGTATGGGTAATTGCTATTACTATTTGTTTCTTCAATATATTCATCTTCTACACAACTTACATGACATACTTATTGCAGTCTTTCTTGTCCGAAGAAAATTATGGGTTCACTAGGTGGGTCAAT